TGAGGGTTCCACATAGAGCAGACAGTTTGCAGAATAACCTTGAACCTAAATGAATCTGGTTCTCCTTCCTAAACATTTCCCACTGGAGAACAGCTTCTCAGGTCTCAGCAAGATAAGCCTCAGGTCTAGCCTCGCCATACACTGTGCCGCCTGAGTGAATCATTTTGTGTAGAATAGAAAACAAAATGAGCTTTAAAATAGGGGAAAGGAGGAGTAGATGGGAAAATATTTTTCCCTCTACAGTGTCTAGAGCCCAGATATGCTGCACATTTCAGGCATTTGGTTTGTAGAAAACAGGAAGCTGTAAATATTAACATTAAATTAAAACATTAAATTCGTTTTTTAACCAGTTATTGCACAAATATTTTCTACATTTTGTTCATTTACTAAAGAACAGCTTATTTCTTCTTCTCTCCCTGAAATGCTGGCTTCTGTCCAGCTCTTACTGTGTGTGTGCGTCTGAATCTCGCTGACAACCATCTGACACACACGCTCATGCTGCGCCTGCTGCAGATGGAGACATTGTTTCCATGGCGACCCGTAGAGGAACATGATTTATTTAAAGGCGATCTCTGCTCCTCTTCTTCTCCTGCTTGATTTTTTTCTCAGTTTATCATGAAGTCAGAAGCTCCATTGAAAAGGCCGGAAACGTGCTCATGTCCAAACAGACATAGACTTCTAGTTTTTTCTTTGCGGTTAGCAGAGAGCTTTTATTTTATCAGTCAGACATCGTCACCCTGTTATCAACTAATGTCCTGCTTACATGAACCCTGTTAACCCTGTGAACCTTTTCCTGGTTTAGCCATGATGTCTTTGGTTCTTTAATTTAGTCTTAGTCTAAATGATGAAAATCAATTTTAATCTTAGTCAAGTTTAAGTCTTTTTTGTCATTTTAGTCAACACTGTACAGAATAAAAATTCTTCACACACCGATTCTCTTTTTAACATATATCACACTTCACACATTGAACCTTTTGTCAGCTTGTTTCATCATATCCACAAAGTCTTCATCCTCGATGGTCCTTGCAGGAAGGCCAGAACCAATCCACTTTGCCACTGAGTTCTCCAGGGCTTTCTGCTTATTGGCATCAGGTTTGTATGGTGGGGGGGCTCCCAAAATCTGTGCAACAGACTTCTCTTCCTTCCCCAACCTTTGATCTGGCTGTGGTGTCACTGTGTCAGGAATCTAGTTGGGAGTGTCATGATGGGCTTTAAAGATCTCATCCACATGCAGAGATTCACTCAGAGAACCAGGGGAAAAGTTAACAGGTTTATTAAGAGGTTCACAAAAAACAGAGAGAGATATTATGCAGGGTTATCTCAGCGGGACTTCAGCGGTCTGGTGAACCGGAACCGGAAACTCTGAAGGGGAGATCACAAAGATCAGTTCAAAGCCCGTAGGGGAAATGACTGAGACTGGTGAATTGCTGGAGAAGACTAACGTTAGGGGGATTCTTGAAAGGATTAACCAGTTCTTGGTTAATCCTTGATTAACTGCTGCAATGGTTAATGAGCAATTACTATTTAATACCCTGTGCAATAACCTGTTTATATTTAATACCATGTGTGAGAACTATATATATATATATATATATATATATATATATATATATATATATATATATATATATATATATATATATATATATATATATATACCTATTCATATAAATACCTACTCTATACACTGTTGAAGATTCTCAGTCATCCAGGTCATAGTAATTCCAAAAAAAGAAAATTCAAAACAATCCACTGGACTTGTTTCAAAGTTTGAAGACGTTTCTCTTCCCATTCTGGAAGCTTTTTCAATTCAAATTGTCAGGAGTGTTCAAGGCTTTATAGAGTGGACCAACAAAGTTTTTGTTTTGAAAACATGCAAATTGAAACAGATGAACGAGCCCCCCCCTTTGGAATGGGGGTCGTTTGGCTTCTTTGTTAGACTGCAGTGCTCCATACCTGTCTATGTCTCTAAAAGGGGGGCCGTTAAAGGGTTTTTTTGGCCTGGCTGAATAGGTGAGGTCCTCTGCTCTCCTGCACTGGGGCTGCGTTTATAGCGGGAAGGAATTCAATTCAATTCAGTTTATTTCTATAGCTCCAATTCACATCATGTCATCTCAGGTCACTTTCCAGTTCACCAGATCATCCAGTCAGATTGATACAAAGTTTTCTATCTAAGGAAAACCAGCTGATTGCATCGACTCATTGACTCTTCAGCAATCCCTCACACTAAGCATGCTTGTAGCGACAGTGGAGAGGAAAAACTCCCTTTGAACAGGAAGAAACCTCCAGCAGAACCAGGCTCAGTGTGAGCGGCCATCTGCTGAGGCCCACTGGGGTTCAAGGAGGCAGGAGCAGACATTGAAAAAGAAGCATAGATACAAAAGGCAACTGTCAACCAGCTCCACAGGCGGCCCCGTCCAGGAAACACACAGCCAGGCAGACGAGCTCCGAGCCAGCTCCCATGTCAGAGGATGAAGAGAGCACATCCAGTTGGTCACAGTCAATGACTACAATGCAGCGATGAACTCTATCGCTGCATTGTAGGTTTTTGACAGCTGAAATCTGAGCCCGACACCCCCCCCCCCCGTTTAAGGTTGGTTTTTCTTTCTTAACATAGATGGTTTCCTTCCTCTCAAACCACCTGTCTTCTTTGTCCAAAATGTGAACATTCTGGTCTTCCAAAGAATGTCCTTTGTCCATCAGGTGTAGATGTAGCGCAGAGTGTTGTCCAGAGGAGGGCGCTCTTCTGTGTTTGGTCATGCATCTCCACGGAGGAAACCGACCTTAAAGACATTTCATCCCAGCGCTGCGTGTCCCGTGACATCATCAATGACCCCTCACCCCCCCACCATGGACTGTTCTCCCTGCTGCCCTGTGGGAAGAGGCTTCACAGCATTCAATGCAGGACCAGCAGGTTCTGCAGCAGCTTCTTCCCCACCGCCATCACACTGATGAACTGATGAATAAAAAGAAAAACAACTGTAAATCATATCTCAGACTTATGTTTAGAACTGATCATCGTGTTTACTTTTATCACTGATGCACTTTAAGAATGAACATGTCTTGAAAGCTGTACTGAAAGAAATTTCATTTTGTACACACTGTGTACAAAATGACAATAACGTTTGTCTAAGTCGTAGTCTAAACAAAAGTAAATTGTAGGTGTGTGAAAGATAAGAAATGTCCAGTGGATTGTTTTTTAACTTTTTTGGAATGACTTTGACCCGGATGACTGAGAATCTTCACCAGCAGGTGGGTGAAAGGTTATGTGTAAGACCACCTCCTCTGTTGAGAGATGGTTTTCCCAGGTTAACCAAGATGGCTTTTTTGACCCCTTGCTTACCATCTTTCTTCCTTAATATGGATATTGTCCTCAAACGACTGTCCTTTAGCCTAAAGGAGTTTAACTTACTGGAATAACTGAATCTGTTCAAAAGTGTGATGATCCTGGCACTGGAGCTGACTCTGGTTCAGTCTCCACCCCCATTGCAATCATCTCTACTGGTTTCACCTGTCTCCATCTGCATATAAGCTCTGTCCTCATGAGTCTCCAGTGCCAGATTGTTTCAAGTCAATTCCGGTGAGAACCTTCCAGCCTTATTTTTGAAATCCTGTCTGTTGCCTGCCGGCCTGCCAGCCTGCCAGCCTGCCTGTTATTGATCCTGTTCTGTCCTCTGATTTTTGAGCCTGCCTGTCCCATTCTTGGATTTGTCCGCCGGCCTGAGACCAGCTCTGTCAGTCTCTAGATTCCGGAATGATTACCTGTGCCTAAGACCCATGTCAGTCTGAAAGTTCACCAGCCTGTCTGCCCCCCCTACGTCCTGTGATACTGGAGATCATACCTGGATCAGAAACTGAACAAACCCGCTGAAATCCCCTCTGCTTATCAGCTGGATGTCTGAACCTACAACTGGACATACTACCTGTTCCTGTCTGGTCCTCAGAGCCCGAACCTCGTGTGAAATCAGGTCATATCAGTCAGCACACGGAAGCTGAACGCCAGAGAGTCGGCGTCCCAATCACCTGTTTTCTCAATAAACTTCTTAAATTGTCACTAACCTGTTGTGGTGGTCCGCATCCGGGCCATTACAAAAAGATTATAATTAAGATTATAATTATTAACTGCCTTTGAAGTGATCAGTAAGACAAACTGAAAGATTGTTGCTAGAAAGAAAAGGGATAAAATTTGAACTTTATTGATCTCACAACAGAGCGATTAACTCTCTGTATTTAACCCATCACCTTGGGGTGGGCTGAGTGGGCTCTAACCCACTAGGCCAACACTCCTGCTCCTCACCCTAACCCTAACTTCTGGGTATGTGGAAATTTAAACAACTAGAAGGAGTTGCCTCATTTATGCTCATATAATCCTCTTGCTGCAGCCAGATTTCTGTAAGGCAACATAAGTCAATGTGATTATCACAGATCAAGTCATTAACTAGCAGACTTTTAGAGGAAAAAAATCTTATGTTAAACAGACCACATCTAATCATTTTAACTTTTTCCCCAATTGGAGTTATTTTGATTTTAATTAGATTATCATGATTTACTCCTTTGGGAATATTTGCTCATTTATTAGATTTTGGTCGTGGGCAAGACACTGTCTGGATGGAGTAATGAGTGGGTAACAGTAGAGAAGCTGCAGAGAGGTCTGTTAAACTACAACTCTGCTTCCTGGTCTGCACCCTGGGTGGTCAGGGTTTTGGAGGACTAATAAATGTGGCCAGATTCCTAGAAAGAAGAGCTGCACCATCCAAAGTGGGATGGATGCCGTCTCTCCGAATCAGACCAGGCTTTCCCCAAAAGGATTGTTTTCATCATTTTATTTCTGAACATCTGAAAAGAGAAAAAGTAAATACATTTTCTGCCCAAAGACCCTTGATTTCCAGGCAAACAGTTAATTTTAATGCATCGAGTATAAAGACACCTCCTCCTACTGCTTCTTCTCAACCCTTCCTCTCCCTCAGATCTCTTCAACAGCCACTCTCTGACATCACCCCTCCCCCTCTCTCAGCTACAGGATCTGGTTTCCACTCGACTGGGTTTTGCCGTTGCATCAGAGAAGGAGAAGAGGCAGGAAGAATAGGCAGGGACAGAAGAACAGGTGAACAGAGGTGAAGTAGCGACCATCTAACTGAGCAGATTAGTGGTCTTCAAGCAGGCGGATAGTGCTGGATGTGAGCTGATGTTCTTAGGAGGAACAGATGGAATCTGAAGAGAATCTGCTCAATGTTTTTCTGCAGCTGCTGCTGATCGGCTCTCACTTCATTCTGGTAACAAAAATCCTGCTTTAAGATTGAATGTGGTACAAGGCTTTGTTCCCCTTTGATTAACTGACTCTGTTCCTAATAACTTCTCTTTATGCTCTTTTTTTATTCCCCTATGTTGTTCAGGTTTATAGATCCTGCTTGTCAAATATAGTTTTAAGAGAAAATAAACAAAACATTTGAAAATCAGATCAGATTATCTCCAACTTTATTACAGAGAAAAAAATTACATATTTTAACAAATGTTTTCAGGTCAGGTCCGAATAAGGGTTCCTCAAACAATATGTTTACTTAAACTGTGTAGGAGTTGTTAACATATTAAAATTAATATTGACCAAATTAGTCTGATGAAAACATAGTCCACCAAAGTTAAGTTGATTAAACTTGGGTCCACATCCATGAATAAAGGAACAAAACAGTTTAAAGGTTAGACATAATACATTTGATCTTCCAGAGTCTAAAAGAAAATCTGATAATTTGATGCTTAAACTAAAAGTCGAATGTTGTCTGGGGAAGAAACAGAACAGAGAAACAGAAAATGAAGCAGTTGGACTAGAATGCATAAAATCTCCAGTTTCTAATTTTAGAAACAGAAACTAAGCAATTCCTTCTCGCAGGGCAAGTTTAACACATCTCTAACACTTTTATGTTTTGTCAGTTTCACACATTTTATGATCAATCCATCCTCCTGGTTTCTGTTGTTTGTCTTTTTTCCTCAGCTGAGAAACCAGAGATACAGAACAGGAAAGGAATGAAAAGTCAAATGTTCACAGATGTTCTGTCTTTAGGTCAGAAGCTAGGAAAGTTACTACAGGTTTGTTCTTAAAGTTTGACTTTATGTTGTTAATTTAAAACATTAACAAACTAAGGAGGAATGCAGCCTCAGCTCACTGAAACTGCGTTCCTTCTTTGTTTGGGTTAGAGAGTTTAGCAGGAGGCTCTGCAGCCGTTTCATCTAACAGCAGCTTCCTCTTTCATTAGTTGCTCTGTAGATTATCTTGGTCCTCTAGATATTTAGAAGAGGAGATGAAACCATCTCTTCAGTTTATTTCACTTTGCCTGCATTCAGTTCACAACAGATGTTATCTCAAGGCTTTTGACAGAGACAATAAAGTCAGATTCCAAAATATTTAAAAACAATCCACTGGACTTTGTTTCCAACTTTGAAGACGTTTGGCTTCCCATCCAGGATATTGATTTTCACTCTAAACATTCCCCCCTGTCTGTTCTTGACCTGTCTCATTTTTATCCAAGTCTCCAGGAACAACTTTCTGTGGAGATGTGGACTCCATCTAACAATGCATAAAAGACAAATGTCTTAGATATTTAAAATGTAGGTTTTCTGATTTGATTCAAAGTTTCTAGACTATGTCCTTTATTATTATATTTGTTGATGAACATGTTAAAAAATGTCTTCCTTTTAATTGTAAAACTGTTTAGTTTAATTCTAGATTTTGATCACAGTAAAGGAAATTGGTAACGGTACAGAGTGAGCTCAGTTATCATGAATCCAAAGTCAGACATTTTCCTACTGCCATTCTTCATTTTCCTCCAGGTGGGCCCTTCACCCCCTGAGGAGGGCTGGCAGGTGTACAGCTCAGCTCAGGACACTGAAGGTAGATGCGTTTGCACAGTTGTGGCTCCACAACAAACTGTTTGCTCCAGGGATGCTCGAACCAAACAACTCCGACAATTACTTGAGAAGGTAAAATACTCCTCATGACAAATGATTAAATATATGAATACATCAATATAAAGTTTTCTTTTTTTTTTTTTTTTTTTTAAGTACTGAGAATGATTAAGGTTCTTGTGAAATGATTTTATGCTATCCAGGTTCAGAACATGAGTCAGTCTATTGAGGTTCTGGACCAGCGGACCCAGAGAGACATGCAGTTTGTTGAGAGGATGGAGGTTCAGCTGAAAAGTCTTGAAAATAAATTCAAACAAGTTGAGGAGGGACACGAGAGCAACATTGCCAGACAATACAAGGTAATGACACGTCATCATGACACTGACTGATCAATGAAGTAGTTTGAACTCTAAAACAGCGAACCTGCCGTGGTTAATCGATTGAGTCCTTTATCCCAAGGTTTGGTTTCCAGTACAGATTTATACATGCAGACAGTTCACTGGGCATTATCCTGTAGACCTTCACTCTGCTGCAGCCAAATATCTGGTTTACCAGGCCTAGACTGAGTTTGATGACCTCCTGAAATAAGTCAGTGATCTGGATGGGCCATAATGATGAAGGGATATCTCAGCCCTCTTGAGCAGTGGGGGCAGACTCAGCCTTGTAGATCAGACTCCTTATAAACTGAAACCTTCTCTTCCATATCTGTCAGTTGAAAGGTTCCTGCAAGCCCCAATAAGATATCATATTCCAAGGAAATGGACCTTGCATTGTCACTATGAAGTAACTGATCATTAGCCACACATTCACACACAACCTCACTGGGTGACAATCATAGAGACCATCAGCCTCTTCCATAGGCTCAAATTAAAAAAAGCTGGTGTCACAGTTTTAGTGACATTGTGCCCACATGCATTAACCACTCTGAGGTGACTGAAATGGCTCAGATTTAGGATTTTCACAGAAGCTCTGAAAGAAAAGCATAGTGACAGTGAAGTAATGGTTCTAAATAGACTAACCAACTTGATGATTGCCTATGATGCAAGTCTAGATTTGAACAAGGAGGAGTGGAGCTACCAACCAGAGTCCTGAGTTTCTATGGAGGATCTGATGGGAATTTCTTTGAGCCTAGAGGCCTGAACCAAGAAGCAGGATTACAGGTTTAGCCAGATAGCTTCATTCTATTCACCATTGTAAGGTCGCTTTCGGAATGAGAATATCCTAAAGATCAGAGGATCAGTTTATACATCCATATCAAGTTCAGTACCAAAGTTGTCTCCAACTGGAATTGATCTTGACCAAATGTCCCAATTCAGCCAAATAAACTATAAAAGCTTAGAGGAAATCATTCAGCAGGTAAGTTCCTCCTCCTGCTGCCTTGATGTTCTACCCACAGCTTTCTTTAAGAAAGTTTGGCCTGTCATAGCGTCTGATTTGACTCAGATAATAAACACGTGCCTTCTGTCAGGTGTTTTCCCGCAGTCCCTAAAAACAGCAAATATTAAACCACTGCTGAAAAAGAACAATTTAGACAAACTACTACTCCAGAACTACAGGCCCATATCAAACCTTTATCAGTAAGATTATTGAAAAAGCAGTGTTTCAACAGTTAAACACTTTCTTAGATATGACCAGCCGCTTTGACGTGTTCCAGTCAGGTTTCTGTGCTCACCACAGTTCAGAGACCGCCCTTATCAAGGTGTTTAATGACATCCGTATAAATACAGACTGTGGAAGAACCACAGTGCTGGTTCTATTGGACCTCAGTGCAGCGTTCAATACTGTAGATCACTCCATCCTGTTAGAGCGCCTGGAAAACTGGGTCGGCCTCTCTGGTTCAGCTCTCAACTGGTTTAAATCCCACTTAAAGGACAGGGACTTTTTTGTATCAGTAGAGAACTTTACATCAGAGATGACAAAAATCACATGTGGGGTTCCCCAAGGGTCCATCCTGGGTCCCCTCCTATTCAATATCTACATGCTCCCTCTTGCTCAGTTAATAAAAAACAACAACATCAGCGACCATAACTATGCAGACGACACACAGCTTTACATCACCATGTCACCAGGTGACTATGAACCAGTTCAAGCACTGAGGAAATGCTTAGAAGAAATCAATGCCTGGATGTGCCATCATTTTCTTCAACTGAATAAAAACCAAACTAAAGTAATAATCTTTGGACCAATAGAGGAGAGATCTAAAGTTAGCACACAGCTTCAGTCGCTTCAGCTAGTAACCACTGATCAGGCCCCAAATCTAGGTGTAGTGCTGGATTCAGACTTGAACCTCCAAAAGCATTTAAAGACAATTACAAGGTGGGCTTTCTATCACCTGAAGAACATTTCCAGGATCAAAGGACTAATGTCTCAGCATGATCTGGAAAAACTAATCCGTAATGCGTTTATTTTTAGTCGAATTGATTACTGCAACGGTGTTTTCACAGGTCTGCCTAAAAAGTGGATCAGACAGCTGCAGCTGATCCAGAACGCTGCTGCCCGTGTCCTCACTACGACTAAGAAAGTAGAGCACATCCCCCAAGTTCTAAAGTCCTTACACTGGCTCCCTGTATCTCAGAGAATTGACTTTAAAATCCTTCTGTTAGTCTATAAATCTCTGAATGGCTTAGCACCTAAATCCATCACAGACTTGCTATCAGTGGATCAACCCTCCAGACCACTCAGGTCTTCTGGCTCCAGCCTGCTCTTCATACCTAGAACCAGAACTAAACATGGAGAAGCAGCATTTAGTTCCTATGCTCCACTTATCTGGATCAAACATCCAGAAAACTGTAAAAGTGCGGAAACCTAACCAGAAAAAATATATTTCTGGGTTTTAGGAAGTGTTTCAGATGGACTGCAAAGTTTGACAGGCATTTAAAGTCAAGATGAGGGAGTTTGTAGGAGTGTTGCGGTCAGTTGGATAGATTCTAAGAATAGATTGGTTGCTTTTACAACCACTCTAGTTGGTTAAAAGAGTTTTGGTAAGACAAAAAAAAATTATCAAAAACTGACAAAGCCACTGGTTGCAGTTGTAACATTGGTATTTAGAAGTATAACCTTCTAGTATTAAGTTAGTGCTGAAAGTGACAACTGCTGAAAGAGTTTGCCTTTGTATTCAAGGTTATCAGTTTGAAACCCGGCCTTGGCTTTTGGAAGTTGCTATACTACTTAACCAACATTTTCACCAATGTGACCAATTTGTACTGGTTTGTCCTTTTACCAAAATAGGTTGTTTAAAAACACTGCCAAATTAGATTTGTTGGTTTAAAGGCACACTATGCAACATTTTTCAGTTAATTAATGTGTTCCATAACGTTTTGGATGATTAAATGAGTTTGAACAAAGGTATTCTCGGCCGCCCTGGTGGTCTGTGGGGGAAATACCGCACTTGCAATTGCAGGAGCCATCGGCCCGCACCCACAGGCTCAGAAGTCTCGCGAGAGTTGGTCTTGCTTTACGGCGAGAACTACTACACCCCCCAGTTAAAAGCATGCTCATTGCTAGCACAGTGGCGATCTTTGTGCAGTCCTGCTTTCACACCGGACACAGCAAGAGCAGCAAAATCGCGTCTGCTGCTTCATTTTTGCTGCTTGTACCAGTTAGTTCTGACGCGCGGCTGAAGCAGCTTTGCTGCTCTGGCTGCGCGGTACAAAAGTGTGTCTGACGCGCGTTGGGCGGAGCTACTCTATCCTTTCTCTGCCTTGCAGCTATATTTACTGTGATCAGTGGGAATAAAGTAGTTTTAATATGTTTTTAAGTGAGAAAATCCACCTGAAAACATAATCAGTGCCGTCAGTTCATTCAGATTATCATCCTGCCTTCCAATATTTTTTCTGTCGGAGCCGCTCAGACCCCCACATACCAGCGGTGCGCCGACAGTAGGAATCCCTTCATCAGCAGCCTCTGGCCGGGTCGCCTCCTCGCGGTTCACCGCGGCAGCTGGTAGGTGTTTTTCATCTAAATAATCCAAACTGCAGGCAGCAGGATAATAAAAGCCAACATATTCTGCCTGCAGATTTCTGCATTTTAAGTTGATTTAGGCGTCAATAAACTGTTTCAGAGGAGTGATCATAGCGCTCTGATCATCAGCGCTGTGTCTCTCTCCCTGCCAGGTCCCAGATCAGCTTCTCTGATTGGTTGACGCGGTGCGTCGAGCAACAAAAATTAAATTGTTCCATCTCGAGCAGCAGCGCGTTTGCGGCGCGTCACGCGCGTCAGATGCCTAAACGCGCCCGACGCGCTGCTTCAGCTGCTCAGACGCACTGCGCCTGCTGCTCAAAACGCGCCGTGGGACCTTTTGCTGCGCCTTGAGGCGCGTCAACCATTGACTTTGCATGTAAACTCACTGCTTCTGTCGCGCCAGCTACGTCCAGTGTGAACGCAGCATTAGTCATTCGTTGCGTTCGCCTGTCTGCTAAGCTCAAAACAACCGCGCCTGGCTTGACGGAGAAACCAGGAGAACAGCTGTGCATATTTACGACAGTGCACTTTTACTTTCGCCCTCTGGGGGGAGCCTCGCTGGAAAATCAACACCGGTTGCATAGTAGACCTTTAACCAAACGATTGGTTGAACATATAACTTCCAACCAGATTAAACTGAATAGATGTGAGAAAACTTATTATTTTTGAATAAAAATGAATAACTCCTTTTATTCTGCTCATCAGTCCAAATTGCAAATTCACTGTCTGCTCGAGCTGATGTCACTAAAATGACAGAAATACAGTGAACCTTAAAAGAAATGTTCTCTTCCAAGACATTTCAGCACAAAAAAACTTACAAGATTTTTTTTTATACAACAATCATGAACAATTTCAAAGGAACTTAAATGGAAAAA